GATGTTGGTGAAGAAGATTGGGACTTCACTATCTTTGAATCCGAACTGGGTTTGCTTCAGTTCCAGAAGTGGAAACCGTTCTGTAATGAAATGGAACAGCACTCGGGAAGCCTTTCACTTAAGTTATTTGGCCTTCCATTTCACCTGTGGAGTGAGCTAAACTTGGAGAAACTGGTTACGTTGCTGGGAAGAACTGTGGTGGAGTTTAACCTTCAAGATCTTGTAGCTGCCGAGGTCAAGGTTGCAGGAGTGAAACCAGAAATGATACCCAGATCTGTTGAAGTGTTTTCAGAAGGTTGCTGGTATCATGTGTGGCTAGTTTCGGAAGTGGAAGTGTCTCTTTGGGGAAGAGGTTCCAAGGTTGAAGATGCTGACGTGGCGGGCTGGTACACACGTGGCGTACACTCGGTGGTGAATAACAAGGGCACGCAGAGAAGTCCCGTCCCCATGGGGAAGCTGAAAAGTTAACTAAGGAAAACCAAATGTCAAAACTTTCAAAAAATTTCAAATTAATTGGTGAGAAGGTGGGCCGGTTTTCCTTTGCTGACGTGGCCAAAAGAAGGGGTGGGTCGGTCAATTATAAGGGGCGCATGGGTGACTCCGAACCAAACCAGGTTAGACCCGGTTCTTTTTTGAAGGTTTTAGCCGGCCCACGTGACTGTTTAAGTGATCACGTGGGTAGGGGCTTGTCTCGTGTGACACTAGACCGAAAGAATGGTCTAGCTTCTTCTCCACCGAAGCCTGTTAGGGCTGGTTTCGACCAGACATTGAAGATAGGCTCCAGACGCCAGTTGTGGTGGTCCGCGCGCTCAGAGGAAGTTTTGCAAGGTGCAGAGCATTCCGTCTCAGGCTGGCGAACTCCAAGGAGTGCTCAAGCTAGTGCGTTTGCTGGGAAGGAAGCGGTTTTTGATCGGGTGGCTTGCGGTGTGGAGGGGGTTGATGAAGAAGATGAATCGGTTGGCTCTACCAGTCTAGATAGTGTAAGGGAAGAGATCTGGAAGCTAGAAGAAGTGGAAGACACACTATACCTAGGGCTCCTCTTTTCGGAAGAAGCTGGAAATGAAGTCCTTGGTGAGAAGCCCCTAACCGTTGGAGAAGAGGAGGTCAAGTTAGCAGATTGCAAACAAGTGCGTGGGGAAGGAAATCTGCTCTCAAAGACAGAAGCGCCTTTGCCGAACCAGTTTGCTAGGCAGGATGTATGTAAGGAAGGAATTGAGGCTTCCCAGTGGCAAAACAGGAACGCTTCAGCAAGGAATAAACAGTTGGGTACAGAGAGTAGTCCATGTGATTTACAACAGAGAGGAAATTTATCAGCCCAGTTCCATCTCGAGGGTTTAGGACACACTCACAAACCAATACAGGGAGTGCCGGATTCCACTCTCAAACCCTGTAACCCTCCTTGGCTTCAGCAAAAGTCAGGTATCTGTGTCCATTCGTTTTGTGTTACTAATGACTGTCTCTTGTCTGCTGTGCCAGATTCAATTCCCATTCCAGAGGATGAAGCTCGTGGTGGAGTAGAGGAAACAAAGGAGAGGAGTAGAAGTGGTGAGGGTAGGGGTAAAGGTGAAGGGGCAGAGGAAGGTAGAGACAGAGATACAAGACTTTGGGAAATTTTTAGGAGGTTTGTGGATGAGCTTGGGGAAAATAACACACAAAAGGAGAGGGCAGAAGTTTTAATTTCTGGGGTAGGAGGAGGTGAAGAAATAAATGAGGATGGGGGCTCTGAAGGGCGAGAGGTTACGAAGGTGGATGGTGAGGATACTGTGGCAGATTTTGTGCGGAAACTGGGGTGCAAATTAAAAGACCCAAATGATCTCAAATTTATTCTGGAAAAAAAAGGAGGGGGGTAAGGTGAGGAAGAAAAAATTGAATGAGGTTGAAAAATTGACGAGAGATTTTGGAGGGGACAAGAATGCTGGTATCAAGGGGGATAGAAGGAAAGGGGTAAAGTATTGAGGCTTTGGGTTTGAAGGGAAAAGAATAACTCAGTAAAATGAAAATTGTCAGCTGGAATGTTAGAGGGTTGGGTAGTGCTAGGAAGAAGGGCAGTAATTAAAGATGCAACAAAAAAGGTTAACCCGGATATAATTATGATTCAGGAGTCCAACAGAGTAGAGTTTGATGTTAGGTGGGCTAGGAGTATATGGAGAACTAGGGGGGTTAGTTGGGGGAATAATAACTTTATGGAAGAGTCAGGTGTGTATAGCAATGGAGGAATTAATAGGCCAATTCTCAGTTTCCTTGAAATTTAAGCACGTGGAGGATGGATATGAATGGGTGTTAACAAATGTCTATGGACCTAATGATTATAGAGAGAGGAGTAATCTTTGGGAATTGGGGGATGTAAGGGGATTGTGGGATGGTCCGTAGTGTTTAGGAGGCGATTTTAATGTAATTAGGTTTTTGGAAGAAACAAATAATCCCAGACAGAGGGTGACCACGAGCACGAGGAAGTTTAATCAATTTGTGGAAAGCTTTGAACTTAAAGAAATCCCATTGGCCCGCAGTAGTTACACTTGGTCCAACTTACAAGTGAATCCCATTTGCTCTAAGTTGGATAGATTTCTTTTTTTTGGTGGATTGGGAGGAACATTGGGGTAGCTTGGCCTCTAGAGCACTTCCAAGAGTAACTTCAGACCATTGGCCCATTATGACTGGTATGGAAGAGATGGGAAGCACAGGGCCTGCACCTTTCAGATTTGAGAATATGTGGCTTCTTCACCCGGGTTTTAATAATAAAACCAAGGAGTGGTGGTTAGAGAGTGACCCTGTAGTCGAATGGAAAGGAATGAGGTTCCATAAGAAATTACAACTATTGAAGGGTAAAATCAAGGAATGGCACAACTTAGAATTTGGGCGGTTGGAAGAGAGAAAGCAAACGGTAATTGATCAATTGGAAGATCTGGATGGAAAGGAGGGGAGGGGAGAGCTAACACAAGAGGACAATGAACAGAGGTGGAATTTGTGGAAACAACTGGAGGATGAATTGTTCAAGGAGGAAGTCAGTTGGAAACAAAAGTCAAGGTGTATATGGTTGAAGGAGGGAGATAGGAATACAAAATTTTTTCATGTTTGGCAAGTGGGAGAAGAAGGAAGAATTTTATTTCAAACTTGGAAATAGAGGGGATAACCTTATCTGATCAGGGGGAGATTGCTAGGGAGTTTGCTAATCACTTTAGGTCTATATACAAAAAACCCTTAAGTAATAGGGTTTGGATTGAGGGGATGGAATGGCCGAGGTTGAGATCAGAAGATAAGGAGTGGTTGGAGAGAAAATTTGAGGTGGAGGAGGTCAAGGAGGCAGTATTCTCCATGGATAGATCAAAGGCTCCGGGCCCAAATGGTTTTACGATGGCATTTTACCAGGATTGTTGGGAGGTCTTGAGGGAAGAGCTAATGTTAGTATTTGAAGAGTTCCACAAGAGAGAAGTGATTAACCCGGGGTTGAATTCCACATTTATTGCTTTGGTTCCCAAGAAGAGAGAGGCAACACATCCAAGTTATTATAGACCTATTAGCCTAGTGAACGGTCTATATAAGATCATTGCGCAGGTGTTGTCCCTTAGGATTAGATAGGTGCTCAATACCATCATCTCAAATAATCAAGGAGCTTTTGTGAGGGGCAGGCAAATCACTAATCAAATTCTTATAGCAAACGAGAGTGTGGAGAACTTCAAGAGATGTAAGAAGGGGGTAGTCTGTAAGCTAGATTTGGAAAAAGCTTACGACTTGGTAGACTGGTTCTTTTTGTTGGAGGTGATGACTAATTTTGGGTTCGGTGATAGATGGGGCAGATGGGTGTTGGGGTATATTAGGTCTTGCCACTACTCTATTTTGGTGAACGGAACGGTGGTAGACTTCTTCCCAGCATTGAGGGGAATAAGACAAGGAGACCCCCTTTCTCCTTTCTTGTTCACCTTGATTGCGGAAGTACTAGGGGGTCTAATCTCTAAGGCAGATTCTAGAGGGCTAATTAAGGGTTGGAGAGTTGGCAGGGAGAGTATACCACTAACACACTTGCAGTTTACAGATGATACGATTTTGTTTTGTGAGGGGGGGACATGAATTGGATTAGAAATGTGAAACTTACAGTACAACTATTTGAGCAAATGTCCAATCTGAAAGTTAATTTTGATAAAAGTTGTGTTGTAGGTGTGAATATGGGGGGAAGTGAGATCCTTGAGTGTGCAAATATTTTGGGTTGTGGACTTTTGAATTGACCTTTGATTTACCTCGGTCTTCCTCTAGGAGATAATCCTCAAAAAGGAGGTTTGAAAAGAGACTTGCTTCTTGGAAGAAAAACCACCTATCTCTTGGGGGAAGAATTACCTTAATCAGGTCTACCCTAGCTAATCTACCCATCTATTATCTCTTAGTCTTTAAGGTACCTGCAGGGATTGCTAGTAAGTTGGAAAAATTAATGAGGGACTTCTTGTGGGAACCGGGAGAGGAAAAAAAGGATCATAGGGTTAGATGGGAGATGGTGTGTAGGAATAAGCAGGATGGAGGGCTAGGCATTGGGAATATTAGGAAGAGGAATTTGGCTTTGCTAGGGAAATGGTTGTGGAGGTTTTCTGAGGGAGAAACTGTGGACGAAGATAATTTATAGTATTCACGGTCTTGCAGAGAATGGTTGGGACTCTGGGATTCCGGCTTATAGCTACAAGAGCATCACCTTGGAATTCAATCCAAGATGTTTTGCCTCTCTTCTCTCCTTGGATCAGGTATGATTTACACTCGGGTAATCTCACAAAGTTCTGGGAACATGTTTGGGTTGGGAAGACCCCTTTGAAAGAACAATTTTCGGCTCTATTTGCAATCTCCACCCTAAAAAATGAACCAATTTCTAGTTTCCTCAAACTCAAATTCCGGGTTTGCTTGAAACTTGGGTTTGAGAAGAGCACTCAGGGACATAGAACTGGTTAATGTTTCATCTGTTTTGTCCATTCTTGAGGGGATCTTCTTGGAACCCACAAAGACAAATAGTAGGATCTGGTCTTTGTCTCCCTCTGGATCCTTCACTTGTGCATCCTTCTTTAAAGTCCTGATATAACCAGAAATTCTTTTTGGTCTGTCATTCCCTGTCAAGGAAGTGTGGTGTAAACCTATACCTCCGAGGGTTAGGAGCTTTTGTTGGGAAGTTTTCCTTGAAAGGATCAACACAGGTGACCTACTTCAAAGAAAAAGACCCAATAGTTGTTTATCTCCACACTGGTGTGTTTTACGCAAAGTTGCTGGTGAGTTTGGGTACCACTTACTAATATCTTGTGTTTTGGCAAAAAATATTTGGGATTGGTTTACTTCTTTATTTGGGTGCAGGTGGACACCTCCAAATAGTCTGCAAAGCTTGTTTTCCTCTTCACCTATTGAATGCTCAACGAAAACATCAAGAATTATGTGGAGATGCGTGAGAGCTGCTGTTTGTTGGACACTATGGGAGGAAAGAAACGGAAGAATCTTCTCGGAAAAGGAGAGAGGCTTGGAAACTTTGGTAGAGTTGATTCATATAAGAGTAATACACTGGCTAAAGACAATGAAGGAGTTTACAGATTTTTCAACAAATGATATGCTAAGAAAGTGGAAAGAAGTTGCTAGCTCAGTTACAAGGAAGAATATTTTGAATCTCATGTGGAACCCTCCACCTCATGGTTTTGTCAAACTAAATTTTGATGGCAGTAGCATGGGGAATCCAGGGCCTTCGGGTATTGGGGGATCCTAAGGGATGAGAGAGGTAATGTACTAATGTCCAATTGGAGTGGGAGACTCCTTGAGGGCTGAGCTTTTAGCAGTGTTGGAAGGGGTACAAAGGGCCAAAGAAATTCAAGTCAAGAAACTGCYTATAGAAGGAGATTCTGTGATTGTTGTGAATTGGCTGAAAGAAGACACTTCCAAGATGTGGAGCTACAGCAATGAGAAAAGAAAATTCAAGTGGCTGATTAAGGATATGGAAGTCCAATGTACATGGGTTAGAAGAAATGCTAACTCCTTTGCTGATGGATTGGCTGGGCAAGGATTTTTTAGAAATTCTGGGTTTTAGGCTCAATTGTGAGGGTCTGAGTGTTTAAATAAGTTGTACTTCTTTTCTGGGGAGTTAAGTATCTTTAGCTCCCCTTCCCTGTAACTTTTTTCCTATTTTAATGAATTATGTGGTTATTGATAAAAAAAAATAGAAGAAAGCAATTCTATCTTACCTGAAATTTGTCGGAAACCATGTGCCGGAGACGCTGGTAATAAACAGGCCCAATGAAAATCTCACAGGTAAGCTCTGTCCCAAGAACTCCGCTGTACAATACCTCTACACCATGATAATTGAACCCATAAGAGGTTAACATGGACCCCAGTTCATCAACAAGTGAGCTTGATTTGGATGATGACTTCTTATCATCTTCCTCAACTGAGCTTGCAAAGGGCGTAGCATTAATAAATTTTCCATGCAAGCTTCCTCCCTATTACCAAGACACTTAAGCACACACCTTTAGTAAGCATGTACTATATATCATTTAAAAAAGAGAATCATGAATCAAATTCTCAGTATGAATTTCCTAAAGCTATTCAAAGAAGTAAAAATGAAGGTAGAAATACAATAACCATTAAACAAATATTACTGGAAAGGAATCATGCTAGTTTAGGGTATGATATTCTTAATGCATCTGGTGAATACTTTGTACTCAATAAACTGCAAATTAGATTTTTCACAGCTACATGCACTGAAAGCATATTAACATATCATACATTGAATGTAACAGGTTGGTGGAAAAATTGCACACTCCAAGGGATATTAAAAAGTTAGGGAGACTCTCTTAGAGTAGAAGTTTTAGCTTTGATGGAAGGCGTATAATGGGCAAAGGAATTGAACGTTAGAAAACTGATTATTGAGGGAGACTCGAAATGACTAGTGAGCTGGATACGAAGTGAAGAGATGAAGATGTAGACTTACAGCAATGACAAGAAGCAACTTAGGCGGTTGGCAATGGAAATCTCTTTCAATTGGATAAAGCATTGTGCTAATTCTGGGCACAGTTGTAAATCAGGACTTGGGTGTGGGGAGAGAAAAGAGCTTTTGTCTCTCACTGTCCATTTACCATTTACACTATTATTTCTATGCTTTGTACATTCATTTAATGTTTCTTAATAAAATTTTGATGTTATCAATCAAAAAAAATGAGAGTAATCTTCAGATGATTCCAAATCAGCCAATAGCATAGATGAGGACTTTGAAAAACAAGGAGTCAATAGGGGACAAATATATCAGGGTCTGGTCCCACAGAGTGGGAACTTGTAAACAGAAAACAGTTTAATAGGAGGCTAGATAAAATTTTCTGCAATAGATAACAAAATGTAGCATACAATGGATAACAAATATGCATTTCAAATTAAGCATATCTGATTTTAATCTCAAAAAATGATACAAAATATTGAAAGCATAAATGACAATGAAAATAAAAAGAAATTAACTTCTAATATGATAACTAAAATCCTGGAAGAACAATGCATTTAAAATCACTATTCTATGAAGTTCAAGGGGCATTCTAAGTTGAGCAATGTGTATGTTAAGGCTAAAAGTTCGGGTTAAAATATTCATACAAAGCACATCTTTAATAATTTAAGTTGGATACGAATCAAATTAAGTGGATACATATCATTCCCAAGATCATTACTAAGATCACCCAAATGTGTGCCACGTCAATCTCAATTGATGAAACCGTGAGGATGTACTAGAGTTCAGTGAGCATGTTAGACAGTAATCCCCTCATTTCATAAGTGCACTCCAACCTCACCATAACATCACCAGTGAAACCACCTTGGTGTAAGGCAAAGGGTTATCTGAACAGGATCTTAAAGGATCCAATCACTTCAAACAATCAAATATGGACAAGGATTTGGCAAATCTAATACATATCCCCTACAAACACCCATGTCACTTTGTGTCCAATACAGGTACTTGAGGTAAGATGGAAGGTCCAGATATAAGAAGCTCTAACCTTTGTAGAGCTTCACAAGTAGATAATTAACAAGGCAATCTCAGGACTTTTGTCTATTATATATATTGTTTATGCAAATTGGGCAATATAAATGCAAAGATAGAGCTTCAGTGGGATGAAGTTAGTTATGCCCAGGCTTAAGGTATAGACATCCATCTTCACTGTTACACCCCCTTACCATTTCAAACTGTGCATAGAAAATAGTTGGGGTAGCCACCACCAGCATGCTGGAGGGATGACAGGGACATAAGAGAAAACAAAGGAGGAAGTGATAAGATGCTTTCCTTGTAAAAGGACAATATGATGTGCACGAGAGGAAGGAAATTTATTTCTTACATATAAAAATGAAAAGCAAAAGGAATAATACAATAGTTTTATGAACTGAGCCCACCAAAGAACCTACAGGCCAATTAAGGTTAGCACTTGAGACTTGCCATGGGTGTGATCCAAGACGGAGCCTGAGTCTAACCTTAAAGTGACAGGCATTAACCAAGCTAGGCAAAGATCAGCTTCTTTACACCCCTGGGTATCACTACATTAGATGCCAGATATGGTGTTGTTAAAGAAACAGACATGAAAAAACTGAACACAACTTATTTTTCTCTTGAAAATGCAGAATGGCATATACAAATATTACACAAAAGCTTGCACTACATTAGATGTCAGATATGGTGCTGTTAAAGAAACAGACATGAAAAAAGTGAACACAACTTATTTTTCTCTTGAAAATGCAAAATGGCATATACAAGTATTACACAAAAGCTTGCACTACTTAATCTTAGGTTATGTTGCTTCAGAGTATTATACCTATGGATACATGTATTATATTATATTTATATATGCAAAAATTTGAAGATATGTTAGGTTCGGATTAGGTCAGATTGACCAGGCCCTCAACCTTGACCCAACCCAATTTTTTAGGTTGGTTTCAGAAGCTTATATGAGTTAATAATCATAGATAAGCCTTGTTTTGAAGGAAATTGTTACATAATATCCAACTTGGAATCCAACAAACAGAAAATGAAACTAATCACCCAACTGGTGATTGAATGGTGGTACCTTGGCGGCTATAGATTCTAGAAGCATCCCAATTGTCATTCTTGAAGGAAATGCATGTGGATTGATAATAAGATCTGGTTGCATTCCTGTTACTCCTGAGAATGGCATATCAATATCAGGCCACAATTGAGAGCAAACACCCTTCTGCCCATGTCTACTGCTAAACTTGTCACCAATGATTGGATTTCTAGGACGCCTGAAACGGATGTTTACCTGTGTAAAGTAATACCAAGAATAACGTAAGTCAAGGTTATGGAAGCATAAAAGGAAGTAATAATCCACATGCTAATGGTATGAAGTGTAAAAAGCAAAAGCATTTGAGAAATGTAGAGTAGCTTTAAGCAAAACCCTGATACAATGAATATGGTTAAGGTGTTCTGTGTAGTTAGAGTAGCTTTAAGCTATAAAATAAGAACAAAAATTGTATAAACCAAGTGAAAGAGAAATGTATTCCATAAGAGACTAAAAGGTACACAACCAATCCTCTTGTAATATACATGGTTCTAGAAAAAAAAAAAAAGAAAATTAAAATATCTTCCATAAGGAGAATAGCATATGGAAGAAAGCTACACAAATTTTCTTTCCAATGAAGAAAGAAAAAAATCTTCATAAAACAGAAACGGAATTTGTTCATTGAACATCATATAATGGAAATGTCTCCCAGTGGAACTGCATTTCCCAGTGAAACTGCATTTCCAATGAAGAAAGAAAAAAATATCTACCATCTTCTTTTTGCAGCCAGCCAATAACCAATTTTGAATCCCCTTCAGCAATAAGCTTGCAACAGTTCAACTCCTTAGCCTTCTTCATACCCCTCCACTACTGCCATCAAAGTTCAGTTTAACGAACCCAGGAGCTGGGGAGTAATTTTGGTCTTTCAAGGGGATGAATCAACCACATCCTTCCAATTCCACTGTACCACTCTAATAGAAACTGCCTCAATAATGGCCTCCTTACTCCTTTCCTTGTCGGAAAACATTCTTGAGTTCCTTTCTTCCCAAACTGTCCAGAAAATAGCAGCCCTAACACATCTCCATAGAGTTCTACCCCTCTTCTTTGGACGTCCGAAGAAAGAAGAGGCAAACAAGCCATGTACATCCAGTGGCTCTGTGTGTGTGTGTGCGGGGGGAACCAAACCCAAATATTTGAAACAAACAGGTGGGATATTAATAAGTGGTAGCAGCTTTCACCATTAGCCTTACACATGATACACCATTTGGGAGATAAGCACCAGTTAGGTCTTTTTCTTTGGAGCAAGTCACAAGTGTTACACCTTCCCAGAAAGGCTTCCCAACAAAAGGCTCCAATCCTAGGAGGAATTGGTTTGCCCCAAACTTTGAGGACCGGAAAATTGTTCGCCAGGCAATCAAAAGGCTGCACTAAAGCTTTGAAAAAAGAGGCACAAGTAAACACACCAAAATAAGTCAAAGTCCAAACCCTATTATCCTCTCACCTAGATCCCCCCCCCCCAAGATCTGAAATAGAGCTGAGACAGAATAGACTTCAGAATCCCTAAAATCCCTTCTAAAACTCAAGTCCCAATCAAAACCAAAACATGAGTCTGGAGGAACCAAAAAAGTGGACACTGACTCATCTTTACAAGAAGAATGTGAATAGGAAGAGGAGAATTGGTCTTTCAAGCACACAGCCCACCCAAGAAGTGAATAAGAACCAAGATAGAATGGACTTCAGAAACCCTAAAACCCCTTCTAAAACACCAAGTCCCAGTCAAAACCAGAACCTTTTGTCTGAAGGAACCAAAAATTTGGACACTGGCTCATCTTTAGAAGAAGAAGAAAGGGAGTACAAATGGGTGAGTGGAACCCAATTTCTACCCACCTTCCAACCTCTCATCAGGTTTCTAGAGTTTGCCCTTGTTATCAATCTGTCAAAAACTTTGGCAATTACGGTGAACAAGAAAGGAAGGGGGTCCACTTGTCTACTCCCTTTAACTACAGGGAAGTGATCTACCACTACACGATTAATGAAAATAGATTAGTGGCAAGTCTCTAAATAACCATGTATCCACTTGCACCACTTTGTCCCAAATCCAAAGTTCTCCATCACCTGCAGCAAGCTTACACATAAATCCTTTCCTCCCACTCCTTCTCAAGTCCTCCACAATCTCATTAGCAATTAAAATCTGATCAGTTATCTGATGTGAGGGAGCAAAATTCTCAACCTCATCGAAAGCACCTTAGCAATGATTTTGTACAGGTTGTTTACCAAGCTTATTGGTCTAAACTCCTTAGAGTGATTAGCACCCTCCGTATTTGGAACCAAAGCTATAAAAGTAGAGTTAAGCCCCAGATTTATCACCCCCTCTCAAAGAATTCATTATAAACCTTCGATAGATCCTATTTTAAAATGCCCCAACAGTCTTGGTAGAAAGCCACTGTAAACCT